TCTTTAGTTCGTTATAATTTTCAATCTTTTGGCTGTTTGTGGAATTATTATTATATTTTCAAAAGAGTTATTTATATTAACACCTCTTGAGATTTCCGGTGTTTTCACAAAACTTTATGAGGTTTAAAAAGTTATACGAACACCCTCGAGGTTTCAGATTGTTTTTACAAAATTCGTTGATTGTTCCAAGGGCAGACCTACGTGGAGGGCATGCCCAGCAGCTACCCGACCCCTTTTGTGAACTCTCTCTCTTGTGAGCTTTAGTTTTCTATTATCTCCCTCTTGTGGGCTTTAATTTCCTATTATCTCTCTCTCTCTCTCTCTCTCTGGTTTTTTTTATTATTTTTATTATTAATTTTTAGGATTTGAATATGAATTTTGGTTTTTTGTTGATAATATATTAATATTTGTGGGTGAGCTTGTGCTATTATTTTTGTATTGCATTGCATTTACTTGTTGTTTTATAAGTTTTTCTTTATGTATAAAGATGCATTTGAGGGTAATGCTCATTACTTCTATTGACTAGGTGTATTTTTTGTATGTTTATTAATGAAATTCACTCATACCTTCGAGTTTTTAATATAAGTTTTGTGTGGCCGGCTATCGAATCCTGAATCCGCAACTGGATTGTATGTTTATTATTGTAAATAACTCTTTTCAAAATTACCAAATTTGCCATATATTTAGATAAGAATTAACGTTGAAGTGTTGGCCAATATATAGTTTTGAGTCTTTCACTAAATGAGATCAAAATGGAAGGAAGACAAGAGATGGAGGGGCGGCATAACCTTGGAAGTGCTGGGTTACTTCCCCTCATTGCAAATTGTTTTTGGAGTGCAACCTCAATTTCTTCCCCTCGCTAAGCTAGTTTTTTCCTTTTTAAGTTTTTATTATTATTTTCAATGATAAAGTAAAGTACTACTACGTTTAACGGTTTAAAAAAAAATTAGCATGGATCAAGTTTTGAGTGGAAGGCTATACATGGTAATAAAAAAAAAAAGTGGAAGTGAAAATTACAAACAAAACAAAACTCTGATGAAAAATGCCGCATATATGCACATTACACGTCATATACGCCAGCTGACTGGAAGTTGTTCATTTAATGATCGAGTACTGGAGAAGTTACTAACGACCAACGCTCACAAACGGTTCACTGTAAATTTGAAATAAAATTACTTTTATCGCCAGGAAAATCACCCTAAGCGTCTTGAGTTAAAATAAAACCAAACCCAACGAGGAAGTGCAAGTTTCCTAATTGAAAAGGGTAACAACATGTTATAAATACGCACGCATTTCTCTTATTGTCAACTTCATTCCATCTCTCTGTTTTCTTTCTCCCCTGCAACTAGAATTTACCAATTGACTGGTTTTGTAGTTTGATTTCCTTCTGTTAATTTCAACATTAACAATGAAGGAAGAAATTGATCTCTCAGCACTCCTGGACCTAACCCTTGGCCTTCCTAGAACTATGGTTAACCCTTGCCCAGAACCAGACCAACTTTCCACTGCCCTCACTTTGTGCGATCCATCTTGGAATTACGACACACACCAGAGAAAAGAAGAGGAATATTTAGACCCTGCTCCTCTCAGATTTGCCCTTCCTAATCCGGAACACGAGAAAATGTCGGGTACGAATGATATCAACAAGGAATTAAAGAAGAAGAAAAGAAACCAAGCATTGCCGGATACGGTGAGTCTACAGCCTCAGGATGAGGGGCCTTGGAAAATCAGGAAGAAGCTGACAGTAAGCGACATTGGAAACTGCTCAAGGCTACTGATGCCGAAAAAATCTGTCATCGACCATGTTATGTGTTACTTGGATGACAAGTTTGCCGAAAGGGTTATGAGCGGAGAGGGCATAGGAGTTATGGTTGTAGACTGCGACACAAACACCGGGCATTACTTGAATTTCAAGCTTTGGGGGTCGGCCGAGTTTTACATTCTCAACGGAGATTGGAGGCAAGAGTTTGTGCACAGGAGAGGCTTGAAGGAGAAGGACAGAATTGGGCTTTATTGGGACACCTCCAAATCCATGTTCATGTTTTCTGTTCTTGAAAGGGCAATCCAATCCCAATTCCCTGCTTGATCAATTTGAGATTTCAATTATGATCAGAATTGTAATGTAAAAGACTTGTGTTTATCCAAGTCCAAGTGAATTCTATGAATCAAATCATACATTTTCCCATCAATGTTTTTTCTTTATACTGATTTGCTTCCTGTTACAAGTTTTAGTTACACAAATAAATCAATTGTTAGTGAAAAATTACTTCATTCCAATCCAATCTTGCTTTGTTGGCTCCTTTGCTGCCAGCGTTGGGGTTGGCAGATCAAGAAACGTCTCATAACTTGTGGATTAATTCCTCAGATGATTTCTGTTTTAAGTATTCCAAACCTCGAAGACGCACCGTTTTGCCACGACACGTGAAACTGAAACGGAATTTAGTTCTAAACTTTTTTGGTTGCACTTGGTGGATTGCAACACTCAATTTTTTTCATTTAGCTGCTGCTACTTCGAAAGCAAAAGAATTTTATTACTCAAATTCATGATGATGCTGGAATTTGGTATTTCGGAACATTAATTCTGAATAATATGGCTAAGTTTCTTCAGGAATCGCTTTACAAACCCAACAAGGACAAGCAAGTTTTCCTAATTAAAAAGGGTAACAAATGTCCTGTTTCCAAATCCAAGACTGATTTGGTACAAATCCTTATAAATACAAGAACTCATATCTCCCTTTCTCCCCGTCAACTAGAATTAGTCAATTGATTGGCTTTGTAGTTTGATTTTCATCTGTTAATTTCAACATTAACAATGGAGGACGACTATGAAACCTCAAAAATGCTAGCCCTAACCGTTAGCCTTCGTAATACTAACCCAGAGCTAGACCAAGTTTCCACTGCTCTGACTTTGTGTGACCCAACTTGGAATTACAACACAAAGCAGAGCAAAGCAGAGGAATTAGACCCTGCTTCTCACAATGTGCCCACATTTCCTCCTAATCCGAAACACGAGAAAATATCGGGTACGAATGATACGAACAAAGAGTTAGCGAATAAGAAAAGAAATTTAGTAGTGCTGGGACCTAGGCCGAGTCCCAAGCCTCGGAGGCCTTGGCCCATCAGGAAGATTCTGAAGGCAAGCGACCTCGGAAACTCCTCAAGGCTGCTGGTTCCAAAAGACGCCGCCACGAACCATTTTCTGCGTTACTTGGATGACAAGTTTGTCCAAAGGGTTGATAGTGACGATGGATTGGGAGTCACAGTTCAAGATTGCGATACAGGCACAAGACATCAGTTGACTTTCAAGTTTTGGAGCTCGGCAAAGAGTTACATTCTCAATGGAGAGTGGAGAGGGATGTTTGTGCAGAGGAGAGGCTTGAAGGAGAAGGATGAAATTGGGCTTTATTGGGATGCTTCCAGAGCCATGTTCTTGTTTTCTCTCCTTCAACGGGCTTGAATTTGATGATCCAGTTTATTTGCCTTTGTTCACATTGTTTGTGTTCTCTTATTTTGGTTTGTATTTATTTTCAATGAATCACTTTTTTTCAAATTTTTAGAAATAAATTACAATTGTCCTATCAACGGGGTCTAACCTAGTGAAAAAGGGCATTAACTTGTTGTGTTGTGAGTAGTGGTCTCATGATCAAATCCCCATCGCATTGATGTAGTGTGTGTGTGTGTGTGTGTGAACCCCCTCCTATTGTAGTTTAGACTATCGCTTATATTACATGATCCAAAAAATACATGATGACATGACTCTGTTGGTTTTTAGTTATGCTAGTAGGCTAGTAGCATTAATTAAACTGAGTTAATCTAAGTATCCACAATGCGCTCTCTAAACCACCTCTTTAGCTAAATTTTATGGAGAAATTGAAAAAACTCACCTCCAACCATGCTTCTTATCAAACTCCTAAAATAAAGAGACTTCTAGGAGCTCCTAAATCTAAGAAGAGAGAGAGGACTTCTCATGGCTATCTATAATTAAATGCTGTTATATTTTATTATTATTTTAAGCATTTATTTAATGATATCTTCTTTTTTTTCTTCTTTTTATATTTTGGAATCAACTTTCCAGCAAAACACAAAAACGTTTTTTCATTCTCAATTATTTTCGCTATAGGCTGTAGGTGTTTTGCAAAGCACAAGCAATTTTTTATTAAATTTTTTCGCTGTAGATAGATATTTTGCAACACACAAACACCATTTTTAAAAAAAATTCTTTTCCCTATAGGTATTTTGCAAAACACAATCACTTTTTTTACATAATTCTTTTCACATAATTTATTGTTTTGACAACCAATTCTTTTCCGTGTAGGTATTTGCTGTTTTGTATTTTTATTTTTGGATTTCATCTCTTGTTTTGTATCTCATGTGTCTTGTACTTTTATGTTGCAGTGTACCCTTTTTCTTATGATGGTAGTGCACCGTTTTTTTATATAATTATAATCGCAGTTTTATTTTTATTTTTTTATTTGGCAATATTCATTATTTGAACATGAACGTTTTATTGTAAATCAATAATTAAATTTATAAAAAAAAAAGTAACGTATTTATGACAAAAAGAAGTGAAGCAGTTATGAGTCTCCAAAGAGTTCTTCAAATAGATTTTTTGCGTTTTTAGTTAAATTTTAGTTATGAAATAGGAAGCGTGATCGTAGATGCTCTTAGTGAATTAATAAGCTGAGATAATTGGTTAGCCTTGCATTAATTTCACCGACATTAAAAATAATGGTCTTCAACAAATAATTAATCGGTACCTTAAATAGTCTCTGAATTAGGTCCACCGTCCCCATCCCTCCCTATCCTCTGCCCCGAAATTAATTACTGCTGTCCGGAAACGCATCAAACCTCCTTTTGGTCCGGCCCCTAATCAATTAATGCCTCAAAATACCCTAAATTGGAAAGATATTTTTGGATAGCTTTCCCATTCTGAAACTGATTTGATCAAAACTCTTTCGTGAGCCATACCCCATTCTGCTATTTCCTAGCTTTGTAAAAACTTTTCGAAAAAGCACAATTTAATTAACACACAAAATTTTCATAGTACATAATGTTTCACATCCTCTAAATAGTATGGTATGTAAAATAAAGCATTACCATACGACGACGTATGTGGTGTTGACCGTAATTAATTGCCAACATTTTTACCTTATTTAGTCACTCTATTACATATGTATAATCATATTCACAGGCTATGCCCTCGAAACCAAGCAACTTAGCCCTATTAAGCAATCCCAGCCACCATCTTAACACCTTTCCCTATCTTTTCCAAAATAGGGTTCAAGTCTCTAGGGTGCACATTAACCCTGAGGCCATACTTCATGAACAATGTCAGTGACATCTTTTGCTCCACCCGATGGCCCGGAACCACTGTGAGCCGGTGCCTCAACAACACTGCGGCCGCGATTGACTTCATTTGCAAGTAAGCTAAGTCTTTGCCTAGACAAATTCTTGGACCAGCATTGAAGGACACAAACTTGTAAGAATCTTGTGCCTCCATTTTTTGGCCATCAGAAGATAACCACCTTTCGGGCTTAAATTCAAGGCAATCTTCACCCCAGATGTACTTCATGCGACCAACTGAGTATATTGAATATGTGATTGCAGAGCCTGCTGGTACAAAAGTTCCACTTGGCAAAACATCGTCGTTTATTGCTAGCTTGGAGTCTTCTGGCACTGAAGGGTACAGCCTTAGGGTCTCGGACAACGCGGCCTTAAGGTATGTCAGTCGGTCAACTTCTTCAAACACTAGGGGCTCTTTGACCCATTTGGAAGTGTCACTGCCACGTGTCTCCATCAGAACAGTGCAAACTTCAGCAAGGATTTTCTCCTCCACTTGTGGGTTTCGAATCACCAACCAAAAGAACCAACTCAGCGCCGTCGATGATGTGTCACGTCCAGCTAGGATGAAGTTGAGCGCCACGTGTTGGAGGAATGTGTCCGAGTAGGACTCCTTTTTCTTCATGAACCGGGACAACAAGTCATCATGTGGGACCCCATTCGAACCTTGTTCCTTATTGATCAACTCCAGCTTACGTGTGTTGATTATAGTGGATAAATACTGGTCGATGTGTTGGAGGCTCTGGCTCAAGCTGACTTCCATTCCGAGTCGGAGCCATTTTCTGAATTTCCATATAATCGCAGGCAAGATAAAGCGCTGCAGCGTGGCTTCAGTGGCTCGGTCGAAAGAATTTGCGAAGTCGTTTTCGGGAAGGCCCAACGCCAGCGTCTGTGGGTCCTTCCCGAAAGCCAACCCGCAAATGTTGTCAAATGTGAGCCGAAGCAAGAGGTCTTGAAGATCCACCGGCTTGGCTTCATTCTGAGCCGTCTCAAGAATGGGGCAAAACCTGAGCTCAATGGCGCGGCTCACCCACCGAGCCATGGCTTGGCGGAGGGTTCGGGTGGTGAATTCCAGTGCGGCGGTCTTACGTTGGAACAGCCAGGTGTCACCATCAGAGTTGAAGATCCCATCACCGAGCAAATCATGGAACACAGATTGCCAGGTGGGGCCCTTGGGGTAGTTGTCAAACCGGAGCTTCAAAATGTGCTCCAAGTTCTTGGGGTCGCACGTGACAGTCACGAGCCTTTGCTTGCTAGCCAGGAAGGGAATGGCGGAAGTGCAGGTCTGGTACGTGCCGCCGCAAGAGTGGAGATTGTCTGCAATCCAGTCGTGCATCCGGTTCGCGTTTTGGATCAGGCCCGGCAGGCTGCCCACTAGAGGCCAGACACGCGGGCCGTTCATGGACCGTAAGAGGATCTTGAACCACAACAAGTACGCAGCAAAAGCTGATAAGATCATCAGAGCCGTTGATACCTCCATCTGGCCACTGATTAGCAAACCACACTTGAAAATTAAACCACCTCAAACTTGTCTAATTCCAAAATTAACCCTCAAACCCCAGAGTAATTAAGGTGATATAGGAAAAAACCACAGCCAGGCTAGAACTTGAAAACTAATGCACGTAAACAAAAAAGAAGCAAAACCCAGATCAAAATGAGTTTTAGAGATCTGAGGCTGCCAACATTGATATATATAAGGAAGAAGAAGAAGAGAGAGGCAGTAGCTTAAAGAAAAGGGAAAGGGAAAATGTGACTTGAAAAATGAAATGGACGGGAAGGAGAGGATGGCAATAAATAGGGACCGAGGAGGCTGTTGTGTATGAAATGGGGATAGCATTGTTTTGCTATTTCCGAGTCAATCACAAAATGTCACATGAAAAAATTATCATGTATGACACACCATAATTGACCAGAAATAGCAATATAGTGTTATCTCCATCTCATATAAGTGTTTCTCCTGTTGTGGATTATTGTTTTTGTTTCACACTTTTTTTTCTCTCTGATTTTTTTTTTTTTTCATAAGGTAATTAAGGCCTTATAGTGCAAACTCCGCCATTAATTAATGCAAGCAGAAGTCGTTGGACATATATATATAGAAAGGTAAGGTTTATAAACCCACGAGATATAGGGCCACCCCAAAGCTTATAAGTCCATTAGCCCTACAAAAAACCCTTTTCTCTAACATGCATACCCTTCTGTCGTTCTCTCTCTCTCTCTCTCTCTCTCTCTCTCTCTCTCTCTCTTTTCTCTTTCTCTAACATGCATACCCTTCTGTCGCGCTCTCTCTCTCTCTCTCTCTCTCTCTCGCTCTAGGGCTTAGAGGGAAAATGCTAGGCAAATGCATATGCTCTCACCTAATTTAGAGGAAAGTGCCATTTCAACTTAAATTGTGGCATTGAATGGAGGAGCAGAAGTTATGGAGATTAGTTGAGCAAGCTGTATGTATGTGTGTATGCAGGGATGACCTTTAGTTTGGCTAACCTGGCCTATAGCCCAGGTTTGCTCCTGTTTTTCACCCAAAAAAAAAAAAAATTCCGAACTCACCCAATTTAAATAACTTAGTCTCCTTTACTTTTCCTCCTTGCACAGCACGTAATCAATAAAAAGAAGAATGAAAAAATAAATAAATAAATAACTCACACGCAACATGTAGAAAAAAAAAAAAAAACACCCTACCCTTGGATAGTTGGAATCTATTTTAGGTACTTTCATAGCTTGGTAGGTACTACTTTTGTCTCAACGCTGTGTTCTTGTGTTTGCGACTTAAGTGTGTAGGTTTTAAGTTTTATTACTTATGATTTATGTTGTAGAATAACAAGAGTGAGAACTCTAATCAAACATAGGTCAAAACCTTCCCTCATCCTCCTTACAAGTATGACGATTGTGACTGACCGAAAGCAACAACACTAGACATGGTTTAGCAAAGCATTGCCATTATTGTTCAGCAACCTACAAAAAAAAAAACCAATCAGAAATATTTAACTGCATTACGATATTTTACAACAATTAAACGACTAAACAATTTTCGATTTAGCAAATGTTCTACCATTATGATCCTGAAAGATGATCTAAAATATGAGGTAAAATAATAAAATTGCATTGTAGAATGAGAAACAAATAATTGTACCGTCCATTATGAAAATTTTGTATAGGATAAGTAGTACTTTTCAATTTTATTTTTCTCTTGCTTAGATTTGCAATTTTGTTTTTCTGTAATTAGAAGAAATAGCTGGTTTGGTTGGGTGTTGACAACCCCATGCATTTATTTGCTGTACACCAGCTTTTACGGCGTCGCTTTATCTCCAAGACAGCAGTTGCCATCAATCCATCCAATAATATGTTTTGATTGTCCTTTTTCTCCGTATAATAAATATGAGACTCGATGATTTTAAGAAAGTTTAGTGCAAATATTAAAGAGATTTTGCTGACCCAACTAATAGAACATTAAATACTACAAATTAAAAAAAATTATATAATAATCGAGCTTTTCATCGTAATTTGTCAAATAATACACGTATTATACTCGTACCGTGTTTTGTCAACTATGGAGGCTTCTAAGTAGAAATAGACATAAAAAAAATTTCACTTTTGAAAAAAGCCAAAGCTTTTTCAAAAAAGACAAAAAAACCATTCAACTTTCAAATCAAAGACATGCAAATGTATTGGATTCCTTAGGAAATCTAAAAATAAATAAGGGCTTTTTGTCCATTTTTGCTTCTTTTAAAATTTTTCTCTCTCCTTTTGCTTTTTCCAAAATATCCCTATAAAAAATCACGTAGTGAAAATGACAAATTTGGTGGTGATAGGAACGTGACGATTTAAGTGACCTAATGAAAGAAGGCACTTTTTCATTAATTTAAATTGTCTGCACCGAATATTGAATGCATAAATTACCCAAATTCAATATTAAGTTGGAAATTGGACTTAGCCTATTAATTATTAGGTCTCCATCAAAGGCTATATCACTCCCCAAAAAAAGAAAAAGTTCTTTAAAGAGTAATGTGATATGCACCATACTTGTACAGTTTACTTTTCCACACTTCCCTTAACTTAGGTATACTCTCACCGCTCTCTTAAAATCATATCGTGTATTTTTTTTTATAAAAAAAACCTAACAATGGCTCAAACTCTGAGTTTAATGCTTTATTAGCCCCTTGATACGCATGGTGATCAAAATGAGGTTATACGAATTAGTCTCGTGCTATTTTACAAATCGTAAGGTACTGAATTAGATCTGGCTACCAATCTAGTGTGCGTTCAGACAATCCAAATTGATAGTCTGAGAATATAGATCTGGCTACCAAGAGCAAAATGACTAACAACCACATGCAAACATGCATATAATTGAGTAAAATTGATCATACACAAGTTCAAAACACATGCATTGCAACTTTCATAATTTCAAACTGGTCCTGAATCAATCAATCATTCATGACCTATATGAACGTGTGTCGTGTTTTGTAAATCTGTCAAGGATTTGGTTGCTTCCGGGAGACCTTGTGCCTCATCAAATCTTTTTCTCTTTAATATCTAGTGCGTCCCCAAATAGTTGTGTCGTAGGGACTCTAGGTCGCTAGCCTCCCCAACCCAATCAAATGCTGCCACCTGTCAAGCATTTTGACTTCTCCCCTCTTATTCTCTTCCGTTCTCTCCCCTGAAATGCTCCTCCTTTTAATCCTCTCCTGCAATCCACATTTTCTTTTTCTGGTCTGAACCTTCAGTCTTATGCTTCCTTTTAAATCTCAAAAGATCAAATAATTGGGAATGTGGAGAGCCACGAAAATGAAACCAAGCAAAAACTTGAATCCTTACCCATAAAAAATAAAATTAAAAAAACAAAAAAAAACCTAAAAAACCCATTTGATGAGGAAGAGAACCCAAATTTGTCTTCCCCAACATTTTCACAAATTTTAGATAAAGATTTTTGGGAGAGTATTTGGAGGAGAGGAAATGGAAGATGAGTTGATAAGGTAGAAGAGAGAGAGAGAGAGAGAGAGATGCATGATTATTTCTACTTTGGTCGTTATCTGAGCGGAGATTGTAAAAATCGTGACATAATTGAGTGAGACCATATATAAAAATCAAAAGAAAGGGTCAGGACTTTTGGATTGTTTTTTTTAGTACAAGCGATTGAGGTTTTCGAATCTCTGTCGGCATGAGTAGAATATTTTTATTTTTTTGTTTTAGTACAAGCGAGATTGAGGAAAGTGGGGTTTACACAAGTATTACTCGAGAATGATAATTTCAAACTATACAAATGAAAGTACAAAAGCTCAACTAATTGAACTATAACACTACTAACTTTGGTTTTTTGTTTTAGTGTTTTAAAGAAAACAGAGAAACATAAATGGAAAATGGTAAAAATGAAAATTTCGGAAATTTTTATATCGACTATTTTCGGTGCATTTAAAACCTCCAAAGTATTTGACTTTCAAAATGCAATTCTAGGTGGGGGACTCGGGGGAGCTAGCAGCTAATTAACTTGTGGAGCCTAAACATTATCAACTCGGATGGGACCAAGGTGAGGGATTGCAACTCCAATAATAGAGTTTTTTTTACCCTATGTCAATACTAAAGTTTATGTTATTTGTATTATCTCAACTCAACATCTAGCATACATTTTTTCATCGATTATATATTATTGGAGTTCCTTAGGATTCATAAGGTGAGAGGTATCCCGGATTGTTAAGGCACATTCACCTGTTGAAGGACTTCCCTTTACACATCATCCATCACTTCACATCTATTTAAGTTGAATTTAATTTTGGACATCAACAAGAAACCTGATGAAATCTTAATTTTAGTGAAATTTAAAAGACTTTGATGAAGTTTACAAATTTAGGCGTATTCATAAAAATTGTGTTATTCAATTAGGATTTTCGTAGAATCTATGAAGCTCATGCGATATTGAGGGAGAGAGATTTCAACACGGGACATTGGATACATTTTTTAACCACTTGAGTTACAAGAGAGAATTTGAACACAGGACCTCATATGCAATTTTTAATCACTTGAGCTACAAGCCCCTTGCAAGCACCAATATTTGATATTAGTTGATACATAGTCACATTTTTACTTTAAACATAGCACCAACAGCACATTTTAAGTCACTTTTTTCACTTTCTTACACTCATGTTTCTACATTGAAATAACACCAAATGTTTATACTAGTTGGCCCTTTTGAACATATATGCTTGATTTTCAAATAACTTTGTGGAATTGGAGAGAGTTTCAATAAACTCTGCCAAATTCTATCGCTTAAAAAGCTCTGTAAAAATCCATATAAATGTTGAATCCACTGCAACTCAAGTATATATATACACTGAGGAACATGAGGTACCTAAACTGGAATTTAGAGTCCCTCAATAATTTTCCAACAAAGAAAAAATACACATCGAATTAAAAACATCCATAAGTATTTCATTAATTAATTGTAGATTATATGCTCTCATATAGGCACGGCTCAGCCTTGAAACCAAGGACCACAAGAACAAGTGATGTTGGAGATGTAGTTCATGGCAAGTCAAGTCAAGCCCTGTAAGAGCACCTTCATCCATTTGTCATGGCAAAGGATAAGGGGAGTCAAGAGCTGTTACTATTCATGTGAATAGTGGCAGCCTTTGCAAAAGGCTTATTGTGTTTTTACCCATTGCCATGGCAACCACTATTCACATGAGATATGAGAAGATGAATTTGTATAGTGTTTTGGTGTGAGAAGTAAAGAATATGGCTTGGTATTTATATATAATTAAAAATTCTGATTTGTTTTTTTCAATTTTTTTGTTATACGTCACTATAACATCAGCATTACATCACTTTCCCAGTCAGCAGCACCGGCTGATTCTGCCTGAGCGCTTGCCTAGGTTGGTGGGCCCCATGCATTGCCCAGGCTTGCCCTTTGCGCGTTGGAGCTGTCTTGTGGGCTAAACCCTGTCCTGCCCGGGCAAAAGGCCTTCCGCTGGAAGTGCCCTAAGCAATCAGCCTTACTCTAGCAAGAAGGAAAGAAAACACATGTTTCTCATGACGTCCTCCATGTTTTCAACAAGGTCTCCTTTTCTTCAGCAGATTCTAGTGGAAGCTCCACCTTCTGTTTGAAACGTCGTTTCAATAAACCCTTTTTTCTCCATCCCTTCAAGCTTTTCCTGCAAAGTTTGTGAAAACCTAATCAGCACCTGCCACCTCTTACCAAGCACCTGAGCTCCCCATTTGGAAGAACATATATTTCTACAGAAACTTACAGCAAAGCTCAAAGCTATTAAACATCAATAATTAAAAGCATAGCCCTTCCATACTACCAACTGTTTCTGTTTCCTGCACATATTTTGTTCTGATCTGCCAGGTTAAAGAAGTACCCGGAATTCACTGATGGCCTCCCTGTACATGTTCTGGGTAGCCAAACGTCTAGCGTCTCATTTACTTGAGTGATCTTTGGATAAACAGTTCAGCATCCCACATATCACAACCAGTATCCAGGATGCTTCTAATCATATTGTAATGAAAGTCCATGAAACATTTGCTGCTATTTTTTGTACACAGATGACAAGTCGATAATTTAAATTATAAAACAAGGTCATTGGCACTAATCGAATCCTAAAGAGAATATTGCTTCCTAAGTGTATGAGCTGGCAAAAACATGTGCCTCACCTCACCCACTGGATTCAATCAAGATAATATAATAAAATGCAAGATAATAAACATTAAGTGTGGGGAACATATGCAGACCCTCTGAAAACAACTAGAAGCAGGACTATTTGCATGACTGCATATGTGAATGGAACAAAGAGATCCTTTGTAATGTTGAATAAACCTTCAATGCAGCCATAACAATTAGTCTTTTCCTACTAACCCAGTCATCTCTAGAACCTTTCAGGTCCACAACCACAATTCAGGCTATGAACTACCGCAGTATATTCGTTCCTTGTTTAAGGATGGGATTTTCAGTCTTGAAACAGTTGTTTGAGAACCCGAAATCCCTTAGAACTTTTAGGCCTTCAAAGTTCTGCCCAATATACCATTCTGACTTCCATTGAATTGAATAAGAGGATTTCTTCTATTTCTGTGGGTTGACTAACTTAAAGACAACAAAATTTTGGAGAAAGAAGAAATCTTGCATAGGAAAGTTTTTATGAGGCAAGTATAAAGTAAGAATGATAGCATACCTCAAGCATCATAGCCCTTGATTTGTGCCGCAGAACGGTTGCACTTTTACTCAAGCAGCAATTATCAGGGGACAAGTACTTTCGATTCTCTAGTTGGCCTGAATTTTGATAAAGATGTCAACTAGAAGGCTTACTATCATATTTACATTCTTACAACTAGTGACACACCTGATCAACAAGCTAAAAACCTGTCTATTTCCAAGCCAACAATGAGATTGGCCCCTGAGCTACCACTATTTTACGCCGCGTCAGTCCATATCACATGTGAGAGCAATCTCAGAAATAGTCTATGCAATCTTATAAAGCATTGAACTTTGTAAGGCCTTAACATGAGATAGGCAGAGCGAGGCAAGCTGACAATTTGGTCATTTTTATTTAAGAAACTATTAAAGCTTCAAAATACGAATCTGCAGTTCTTTGTGCCTTCAATGCCCAAACAAGTATACTGAAGAACAGAGAAAAAAGCTACAAAGAATATGGCAGGGCTTACATACAAATTAATTAATAAATAAAAGACACAAGAACCACATGTATCACAGGTTAACTGGAGAGAGCAAGTTGTTAAATTAGCAAAATAAGATGCACAATATCAGTAGGATTTATCATCTGAGCAAGTGCTTAGGTCCTGGTGCCTCTTAGACTGGCAATGGCACATCCACAAAAAAAGCCAAAGAGGAAAATGCAGAACATGCATCCGCAACTGTGGTGCCTCTAGCATCTCCCCTTCCCTCTTCAACTAGCTCCTTTCATCAAAGCTTCAACAACTAGACATTAATAACTATTAAATAACAAGGAAACATCTAAAAGAGGGCACAGAGAATGGTTGAAATGTTTAAAGTTAAACACCTCTGAACAGCCAGATTACATAGAACAAGCCCATCTTCTATAATAATACAGAGAAATTGAAACTTGTCAATGAAAGTTCAGTAGAAGAACAAAAGGGGTAAATACTAAACAATAGTTGGAAACATCAAACAATATAACTTAACTCATTAAATTCTCTGAATAAATCATTTATAAACAATTGATAGACATGCTAATTAGCACACAAAAGAATGAGACTTGACAAGCTACAAGATCATTTACAAACAAATCAATCTACGAAACAATGTTACAAGAAAATGTGACTGAATCTGGATGATATCAGTCAATTTAATCCCCCATCTACCAATTCCAACTAAATTCTTTTGGGATTAAAATCCTCTAGCTGAATTCTGCCAGACCTCAACAGTTTGCTGATCCTTCCGGGTCATGAACATCTTGTTCCCTCCAAAAGCCATGTTGGTTATCCTGGAACCTCCCATATCCTTCATTCTCCCCATTAAATTCTTCCTGAAGAGCCTATCATCCTCCATCCCATTTTTACTGCTCTTCTTAGAGCCCACCACTACCTCTGACCATAGCTCTATGTTGCCTCCCTTACTACAAAACACTTGGCTTCCATGGCTTTCAATCTTGCACCCAGAACCTTCCTTCTTCCCATTAACCACTTTCTTCCTTTCACCAAGAGGAACCCATGGATTCTCTGCACCTATATTTCTCAAATCCGCAAAGAACATCCCGCCTGTATTCACACCAACTTTGAATATTGCTGATAAGTTATCAGAAACTGTGACATCCGAAAAGCAATCAACATTCTCCTTGATTTCCCAAACTACATTCCCAGACCTTGTATCCCAAAATTTAATGTTACCCAATACTCCTGAAGGTCCACTGTGAGACCCAGACGCCATTAACAGACCATAACCTGAAACCCAATTCAATTTCGTGGCCGGTATTGCTGAATTAATCTCGGCACCATAAATTTCATAATGACCAATCTCATTAACAGGGCTCAAGCTATTTAAATCATAAACCATAATGGAATTTGAGTTCCTCCGAGCTGATTCGAAACTAGCGAAGAGAAACTCAGGTGAGGACCCAATTCCTTGCACTGTTGAGCCAGTCTTCGTCACATTCTCCCAATTGAGAGTCTCCTTCACAAACCCGTTTTCAAGGTCAAGAATTTGGAGACCCGAGAAGTCAGTTGCCCCCACCGCGGCCAACCTCGGCGATATCGCTAGCATCGAATCGACGGCGGTGAATTGGGTCAAAATCGTCGACTTTTTCCTGAGCGACCAATCAAAAGACGTGATTTTGCTGCCGTGCGCTACATGGACCGAGCCAAATGGCGTCGTGGCAATTGCAGACGGCGAGTCTCGGCCATTCAAGGGCAAAATCAACGACTTCTCGAGGTTAAAAGCATCAAAATGAGATGGGTTCGATAGCGAATTCATCAAAAACGTTTCGATGCCATAAAATTGGGATTCGAAAATTAGGTCTTGCAGGTCTAAAGCTTTGGCCTTTGAGGGCAAATTACCTGTTCTGAGAAGCGACAGGAGAATCGAGAAGAGCTCCGGGTCTCGATCAATGAACGGCGGAGCGAGTTGAGCTGAGGCTGACTCGGAAATTCTGGAAAAGAGCGAGTCCGGGCCGGCTAGGTTTAGGGTTTGCTTGGTGGTCTGGAAGAGCTGGCCTCCCACGTCTATGGTCGCTATGTTGGACTCTGCCTTGATTTTCTTAAACCCATTTCTGGGAAGCGCCGATTCTGCTGAAGGTGGCATGAATTTGAGCATATTTCCCGAATTGCCTATGTTCCTCACCCACCCAGAAATGAAAATTAGTTAGAGGAGAAAAAGGTAGGATTGGAAAATGGGAAAAGAGCGGTAGCAGTGGAGGTTTCAGTGGTGGTGGAGAAAAATGTGTTGTATATAAAGGGTTTGGGAGTTTTGGGCCAAAGAGAAAAGGTCGCTATGAAGCTGATTACTTCTAGAAGGTTATACCGCAGACGTTTTCTGATTTGTGGTCAACTAAAGGAGGTGGTAAAATAACAAAAATCTAAATCTTTTTTTTTTTTTTTTCTCTTTCCAAAAGTCTAAATTTTAAATTTATAATTTCACCATATGTTTCGGCTGTGTTCACATGTGAAGAAGTTTCCTATTGGAGGCATCGAAGATTTCCAAGTCTAGAGGTCAATGAAGAGGGGCAAGAGAATCTTGGCGGCACACGTTGTTTAAGTGGGCAATTTGGTAATTTGACTTGTTGTTTGGAATAAAAGAAAATAGCTGTTGGAGCCGTCCAACTTGGACCGTGTAGTGAAAAACCTGGTTTGGTTTGATTTGGTTGGAAATAAATTAAAAAAACAAAAAATAATGGCAAGTGTTGTTGGTTCAAAGTTGAATTGAAACTCAAACTAGCAAGAATTTTGAGTATTGACCAATTTGCTCTAATCAGCTTTCTTATTCTCCAAACATGAAAGTAATGGACTCTTTCCATCTGTTATGAGTTGTAAAGTACCAGCCTTTTCCCCTGGAGAGAGGAAAAGCATCTGCTTATCGAATATGTCTTCTAGAACGGTTGTTATATCAATTAAACGGTTCTTCTTTTATAATGAACAGAGAAAGTTGTGGATCGATCACTTAGAAATACGGAATTGAAGAATTGAAATCGGATCAACTTCAAAATAACTTCAAAACTCCTCTATGCACTTGCACATGAAATTGGGAAATCACTTTTCAGGTCCATATATTACTTCCCAAAATAAAAAGCTGATGGTATAAATTATTAAGGTTTATGCAACTTCATGGTTTAGAGTCTCGTATGCAAGTGATTTTAGGAGGACTGGAATATAATCACTTCCAAGTGATTTTAAGCGATTATGGAAGAAGCAAATCACTTAAAACCACTTAGTGACCTCAAATTACAGGCATAAAGTGACTACAAAATGTCATGGTTTGCTGAATTTTATAATACAATATAAAATGAGTTTCAGCGTGCAAATAGACATGAGTGTCATGAAGAAGATTAGCAGTTGAACCGGTAAACAACAACATACCCTGTATATTCCAAGAAAAGTCATGAAGCAAAGAGGGGTCAAAGATAAACGCAACAACATTATCAATTAGCAGTCCACTGTTATTTATTAATGTAATCCTTCTTATCTACTTCTATTGTAATTTAATATAATACATCAAACACATAACCTTCCAAAAGTTGACACTAATCTCTGTGATTTTATACTATCCATATCCATACTTTGTCTCTGCACAGCTTCTGAGCTTGATGAATTCCAGGTCACCATGTACAAAAACAGTCTTAGACCCGGCTCAGTCATCCTGTAAAAGACTTTCCAATCTAAAACCCAAAATTTTGTCTGTAATTTGAGGCCAGTGTAGCATTAGTTTGGTCCTTGATGTCAATCCAGTTTGGAAAACTAAAATCCATGTTGTACTGCAAAATTCGAATTCAAATGCTCCACGGGCTAGGGAGGCCTCAAGTGAGACGCATACTAGCTAACTAACACCTGGCTGCATCATAGGGAAGAACGACCAATTCTTTGTCGGGCCATTCTCCTTGGCATCAACCTTCTCATTTGCCCACCAGTCAGAGCCAATAGAGTTACCAGAATCTCCTCCATCTGGATTGTCAAAATTAAATTCCTTGACAGAACCAAGCGTGATGGATCGCTGCTTCGGATGCAGTTGTGCCTCCTCCCCATCCGCCACGGCTTTTTCTGCTGCGTCATTGGATGTCTCACCAACAGGGCAAATAGAACTGCTTACTACTTTACTAGGATCTTCTTCGCTTTGGGCCTTCTCTGCATCTTCTAGAGATGTAGATACAGCTTCAGCTAATGCCACTGGCTTCTTTTCCACGCATCTGATAACTTCTTCAGAACTTAACTCAAACGAAACTCTGTGGTTGATGGAAATATCATTATTTCGACCTCTATTGTTTGATCGTGGATTTAATACAACCTCAGGGGTTTGAGGCTTTAGAAGAAAACCATCAGAAGATGTGGACTTTGCACCATCGGGAGTTACAGAACCAGATCCTAGTCTTGAACCCCAATCACGGGTGGAGAGAATGTCGAGGTTCAAGAGCTTGGGAGGATCACCTGTTCGGAACTCCAGAAAATGATGACCACGAGCAGCAAACTCAAGGTCAGGGAAAGGAGAAGAAGTACCAGAACCTGAGATGCCTGAACTTGGTGATATAAGCTGACCCACTGGGCTTCCAGGGTAAAGTTGGTAAGATTGAAATTCATAGTGAGACAATGGGAATCTCTGACCACCTTCACCATTCCGGAATTGAGGATCAAGCAGCTGAGCAAATGGAACCTCAGGTGATGAAGGTGTAGTCAAATGAACAGACTCAGGAGGAGGAGTAAAGGGAGCAGTTGATGGCTCAGTAGTGAAGGTTGAGAAAACAGGAGGCGAGACCAACTGGGTTTCATGAGCATAAGGACCAATAGCGAAAATTGAGGTAGGGCCACTAGGGGAGTACATGCTGGCAGTGAGAGAGAAAAAACCAGCTGGTGATTGTGTGGCAGAAGGAGGTTCTGATTGAAGAAATGATGCAGGAGAGGACGGAGGTGCAACAAAGGGAAGTACAATGGAAGGTGTTTGGATTGGATTTTCAGCTCTAGGAGCATCACCTCCACGGTCTGTTGTTTCTGGGACAAGGACAGCATGTCCAATTCTCTTTTTGTGTCTTTGAAATCCAAAACACCAATACATGCTCCACCAGCTCCCCCATCTTCTTTTCTGCATTTAACCAAAGCTCATGATTAAAGCAAACCTTTAATACAATAAAAACAGCATCAGTTCTCTTTTGACACTACTCTGTCAGTAATTACAAACAATTTGAGTCAATTCCAGAAGATCATTTCAAGATGCCAAATCCAAATGCCTGTTGGGTCACCGAAGAACAATTTCTATTCTCAACTTTAAGTGAGATTTAATAAGCATTTGTGGTTCCTTTTTCCTCTGCTTTTATGAATAAGATAAGATGCACATCTATTTGACCTTTTACTCATTTATCTATCATTTTTTTCCTTTTTGTTTACTTTTTCATCAACAGCAATATCCCTTTCCCTCCCTGCCCCTCCTGTCAATCTTGACTCATTTCCATTGCAGAAGCTCGATAATTATCAATTAAACCTGAGACTCCCAATGTTAACTAAAAAATTTGTTCTCTCTACCTAGCTCTGCCTCCACTACAATGACAAATTGTAATTCAGAAGGAAACATTTTTTCTTTTTTTTTTCCTTTCTTGTTTGTTTCTTTCTTGCTTCATTTGGCCGTGAGTGAGAACCAATGGAAAATCACTCCAATATTCCCAAGGAAAATTTCTTGTCACTTTTATGATCAAACGGCTCAGTGATCCTCAAAATTAACTTAGTCACCAAAGCTACATACTTTTGCATAAAGCAAGTCAACTCTTAAGAGACAACAACCCACCAGAATTCTATGAAAATTTTCACTTTCAGAAGCAGCTCAATTAATTTCCAAACCAAATTTGCCTAAAACGTAGCTCCAAAGGAATTAAACAGTACCCAGTTCATAAAAATCCAATCAAATCAAGAATAACACAGATTTACAGAACACAGCTGGATCTTAAATCTCTCACAAAAAAAGAATCAAAATTTAACAAGACTAAGATTCAATACTCGAACCATCATCCAAACAAGGTCAAATGAACATATCAGAATCGACCACAACGAAAAAGATCACATTTTTCGAAAAATTTACCTGAACGGTGGCTTGAGGCACACGGTTCTCGGCGGCTGCGATCGCAGAAGCAGCTGCGTTTATAGTCTCCAAAGCGTTGTTTCCAGTTCTCGACTCTCCATTCACACGTCTCATCTCCGTTTCTCTCTTTCACCGGAAATCGCCGGTTTTCATCGGACTTCCGAATCCGGCCGAGAAAAACGTCGAATTTTCTCGTGAAAATTGAACCAAACAAACAAAACAACCCAAAAGCCCGAACAGGAAAAGAAAGCAGAAATCTTTCTTCTTACTGAGACAAAGAAGAAAATTCTGACTACTTGGGATGTCTCCAAGATGAAATCGAAAATGAAAAATATGAATCAAAAATCCGTATTTTGAGTCTTTGAGATTTAATTTCTCTTACTGCGTCTGTGTCTGTGTGTGCGTGTTATGAACAAAAGAAAATTAAATATATAATTTTGATATTTTAGCGAATATTATATTTAATATTTGGCGTGACTGGTTTTGAGGTCAAACACGGCAATGACTTTGTTTTGTATGTGATTTTCGTACACCCCAACTTTAGCCCAAGGTTTATATATTCGATTATATTAGAACTCAGGGAATCCTAAATTTACTGTAACACCCCTGCTCATATGATTGTGTTTTTTTTTTTTTGGGGCTAAGAAAATGAATTACAACACAAAATCCCGGCTACAACTACTACCAGTATCAAATCTAAAGGGAAAAAGGCTGGTCCCAACCTTGAAAGATTGTACGGAGCGACTATGAGAGGCTCAAGAATCTACTATGAAATTCACCTCTTTATACACATAATTGAAGGAGATCTCCTCAAACGAATTTACCAAATGATGAATGTCACGAATAATTATACAAATAAATGAGGGTAGCACGTAATCCCAATCTACATTTACTAAGAACGAAAACTTCGAATATTCTTTGTTTAAGGCACAAATTAACCCTTCTTTTAAGGCTTAATCCGCATGTAAACACACTAGTTTTGCCCAAATTTCTAGCACCAGCATAGAAGAACTTGAACAATCGAAACAAAACAAAAAGGGTATTTCAGCATTGATGTGATGCACATATGCAACAATAAGTATTGGTGGGGGATGAGGGCAGTTTTGTCAATTGCTGTACTACGAGGACAATTAGTGATGGTGTTAGTTGGAGATTAATTAGTTATTTGTTTTGTTCAAGGACAGAAAAGGTTTTAGAGGTATTTTGTCAAGGTGTGAAGTGTGCACGTGTGGCCATCCAGTTGTTCTTGACGATGATGATGGCTTTCGTGCG